AAAGATGCACGCATGGACGGACACGTGAGACGTGGCAGTTCACGTACGTACCTGGCCGCTCTTCTCTAGCCGGCCCTTGTAGACCCGGAAGAAGCCGCCTTCTCCGACGAGGTTGTACGGCGTGAAATGGTCTGTGGCCGCGGCGAGCTCGCGGAACGCGAATGCCTGCCCCGTGATGGCGAGCCGCAGCGACGATTCGTCGGCGGAAGCCTGGTGCGCGTGGTTCGCTGCATTGATTGAGCGAAACCAAATTCGTTTTAGAGTCGCGACATTTGGACGTATATAGGTAAGCGAGATCAAGAAACCGATCGAAGCTAGCAGAGGGCGCTCTCTCACCGCCACCGGGCTTGGGCGGCGCCGCGGCTGCTGGAGCGGCCGTGGGGGCCGGGGAGTACGCGGCAGGCGCCTGCACCATCGCGGGTGGCGTCATGTTGGATGCCGGGGCCGCGTCGCCCGGGCTCCCCGCGTCGGCGTCGTCATTGCTGCCCTTTCCGCCGCCGAAGCACGGAAAGCAGCTCATCTTCCTTTTCCCTCCGCGCCTCCCCGTGGCTGCGACCTTGTGGGCGCCGAGCGGGCGCGGGCGGCGGGGGCGCGAGCGAGCGACGACTCGACGAGGGCAAGAACGCAGGGCACGCGCGCACGGACCGAGCCGCCGGCCGCAGTCACTGCGCGCCGACCATGCCCCGGCGTCTCAGCACCGACGCGGCGTCTCCACTTCGTGGAACGCCATGCCCCGGCTCGCCGCGCACCAGATGAATCCGACCGGCCGGCGCGGAGCAGGGGAGCGTGAACGACTAGTGGTGGCTTGCTCGGGCGACCGGAGAGGAGCACGGGGCCACCACGGGGAGATGGTCGATGGCGATGGCAATGGAAGGAAGGCCTTGGAGATCGAGGGATCCAAGGGCCTTCCCAGAGAGAGGGGGATCGGGGGAGGACACCGATGGAGGGGAGGCGGGAGGAAAGGGAGGCTAAGTTTGGAGGGTGGAGTGGACCGAGGAGCGCTCCAAAACGAGGGGTTGGGAACGTGCAGACCACGCATGTACTTGGAAGCGAGCCAGGAACGGAGGCACGGCCCCGCACGACAGCGCGTCGTTCGCTCCTGCCGGTTGCCGTTGCATGTTTGTTTTTGCCAGCCGGGACGCTTCGCCGGCCCGTGTCTGGTTCTGAACCAGAACCAAATTGACATTCAGACTCCTGTGTTTGCACTGCCAAAACAGATCAGATTAAGGGCCCGTTCGTTTGGAGCCCGGAATGGCATGGAATTGTTCCTGGCCGGCAACTATTCAATAATTTACGCTGGGCTGGAATCAATCCTGGCATGGAAGAGCCGGGAACGGTTAACCGAACGACGCCTAAGTGTGAGTGACTTGTGGGTGTACATGGCTGATTGCTGAATGGATTCGTTCTAGCTTGCTTGTGGGTGTACATTTGAAGCACAGGCGCGGAAATGGTTGGAGCGAACCAGCTCGTTGGATCTTTGTCAATTTGCAAATGATCTGCTATGCTAGTTCTTGCCCAAGTGCCCATAACCATCTCTGTTTTTTTTTAGCAAACCATAACCATCTCTGTTGTATCTATGGAATAGATGTCAAACTCTATTCCAGTCGGGATACAATTAAGAGGTCATGGGCTCATGGACCGTTGGAACTATGGACCTAATATGATCTTTCAGTAAATCGTATACTTACAAGTATTAAAGATGCACATTGTATACAGAATGGACCAAAGATCAGAAGGGAATGAGCATCTCGCGTTTAAGTCGTTTTTGGTCTTTAGTGATACACATTATAGCATGGGTCATGACGGTCATCTATAATGCAAAAAATAAGAAAAACAGTACCTTAATATTCTGATATGTTGTGCCTACGAAATGTCTTAAGAGGTTTTCATTGATGTCACGTTGAGCTTGCGAGATGTCTTAGGGGTTTTCACTAATGTGCTAGCGCTTAGCATGTACTATATCCTGTGAGTGAGATAGTTCTAGGGCGTGTTTGAGATCGCGTATTCCACGGTGACGGTGGAAAGAATCGAACAATCGCTCCAAACGCCCTGCGCGATGATTTTTTCAACCGCACTTGGCACGGAAGTCGCGAAAATGAACTAGCAGCTCGTGGTGCTCGCGTTTACGCCACCGCAACTCGGAGCTCACGGTGCCCATACCGCACCGCGTGGTCGACGACCACGGTCCCAAACACGCCCCTAATACAACCTTTTGTTGTGAAGGAAGCTCCAAAGTATTAGGCTTTCAGAATGGCATAGCTAACATCTGCTAGCAGGGTCTGAAACAAATTAGTGAGGTTAGAAATATAGGTCAATTATTATCTTCCTCACCGAGGAGTCTTATGTCTTCGTGCGGGCGTTCTTCCCCACGCTTCAACGTCTTGTCATTTTAGAGCCTCTTTCATATAAATGGTTAATTATTAGTTTGCTAAAAGTTAGCTAAAATTTGTACTAATCCATCCAAACAGGAGCGAATAGATAGACTAATTTTTAGTGAACTAATTAGCAGACGCTAACTAATTTAAACTAATTATTAAGCCAAACTAGTAACTAGACCTAAGACCATCTCTACGAGTTTCCAAAATTCACTCCCAATCTTGATTTTTTGACAAGATTGAAAAGCTGCTCTCCAACTTATTGTCTCAACTCCTAATATATCTGTACTCGGAAAAAACGACCCAATCATGCAAAAATAACTTGGGAAAATTAACTAATTGCACAGAAATCAGCCCAATATGGAGATGAAAGGACGTGAAAAAAGTAGGATAGGATTTTCAATGTAAATGTAAAAAGAAGAAGAAAGAAAACATAAAAATAGTATAAAATAGCTAGTTAATTTTAAAATAGTCTAATGCAAAAATCACCTTATATTTTAGGACCAAATAGAAACTGTTGAAAAAATTCCAACAAATGTGCTCCTAACATTATTTTTAGTCACTTCAAACTTTTTTGTAGTCACTTAAAAAGACTCATTGGTTTAGCAATTATTTTTTTTAAAAAAAACTTTTGGAGAAACATATAAACATGTCCTTATCCTTTTACCAATTTATTTAGTTCATGTTGCGCATTTCTTGCCATGCTCTCATAGCAGCCTTTTAAAAAAAATCGTCGGCCAATCAGGCCACAAATCCGCAATGTTGCTCGTCCGTTCAATCAATTGGTTAGTTCATAGGCAGTCGTTAGTGCCTTGGTGGTACTGCACCTCACAGCCACGTCGCTCTTCTTTATTTGCACGGGCCGCACAGCGCACAAACCGTCAGCACGAACTCTTCTTTGTTTGCACGGGCTGCACAGTGCACATGCTCGCCAATCCACTTTGCAGGGCTGCAAAGCGAAGCGGCGAGTATCAACAGCTTCGCACGCAACGATGTGGGTGGCATGCATCGGCACGATGTGCGGTGCGCAACGAAAAAGAATCAAATGGACAGGGAGAGCGCCGGCAGATTGCTCGGTGCCTCGGTGCAAATCTGTGCGCGCCTCAGGGCTGGGGATCCCGGCGCCGATGACACGGCGGCCGGGACCGTAAGCTGAGCCCCCGCGGCGCGAGGTTCGTTCTGCGCCCCCAGAACAAGGCCGCCAAGAGTGGAACGTTCTCTTGAAGCCGAAAGAAGAGGCGACGAAAAACCGAATCGAACTCGAAACTAGAGAAAAGCACTACGACAGCAGGAAATTCTACGAACTGAACTGAGAGAGAGGTTGACGAAGGATCCATCTCCGTCATCCGTGGCGGCGCCTGTGGATGTGGTGGAGCGAGTGAGCTAGGGTTACCGAAGAGAAGAGAGGCGTAGCACGTTTTTATAGCGAGCCGGCTGGTTCTAGAAGCCCTAATCTCTGGCGAGTAGTATATGGGCCGGCCCAATGGATAGCTTCTGGGCCCTATTACGGGAAATCGGTGAAGGTTTTGGCTTTTCTTTTTTGACCGCCAATAGTATCCCACTCAGCTAATTTTATTTTGGATTTCATTCAGCTTCTGGACCAGTGCGAAACATGGCTGTGCTCTGTAGCCTATTGGAAGTAGCAATACAATCTCAGTTCCTTTGACTACCCGTGGGTGTGAATCTATATACGAGCTAGTGTTAGGGTTTATTTAGCTAAGCTCTTGTTTTAGATTCTCCGAGATCTTATTTTTTTAAGGGAAGTAATTCTAAAATGTTTCTCTAAAATAAAATATATAAATACAGTGAATCTGTGCACGGAGGCTCTCAGCCCCCATTTTATTTCATAGAATCACTTCGTAGAATCAAGGTGTCTCCAATGGTTAGCGTGAATTTTTTAATCTTTAAATAGTGCAAAAGACAAGAGACTAGCGTAGACTCGAGAGATAGGCTCGCGTACCTCACTATGCATTCCTCTCTCACAGCACGATGTTCAGAGCAGTGTCTCTATCATATTTTAACTTAGAGCTAATGTCAACTCATACCGTTGGAGATGCTCTTATTAAAAAAATGTTTAGCTGAGTTCTTTTTGATTCAATCTGAAAGTTGCTAAATTGTTATTGTTATATTTAAAGATATTTATACAAGTCGGAGGAAAGATTCATCAAATTGTTATATTTAAAGAGTTGTTTTTACAGAACTGTTGGGGAGCATTTTTTTCCTTTTTGCTATAAAAAAACTAGAGTTCGTCCATCCACACTCATGACTCCCATACACGTGACCATAATCATCTGATTCACACTGCTTTGCTTATATCGTCCTAAAACATACATACACACACCCACAAGCACCGTCTGACTCGTAACTAGTCAAAAAACACACACAAAACAAAGTGTGGCACACTTAGGGTCTCTTTGGCACGGATTATGTCGGCTTCGGGTTCATCTATTTTGCGCAAATCGAGGCACTATAACGTGAAGCCGTTTTATAAGCCGAAGTTAAAATGAACTAGAAGTTGCAAAAAAACTAATTTTTCTAGCTTCACCAATGAAACCGTTTTGGATGAGCCGTACAAAGGAAGCAAAAGCTTGTTCCATACTTCCATCTCCCTCTTCGACTATAGCTTCACTTGGACAGCGACATCCTGGGACTGGAAAGCTGCGAGTGCCGCCTTACCCTCTCCAGCGCCACCTTGCTCGGCGACGAGGCACTCGGCTTGTCCGCGAACGCCTGGGACAAACGCTTCTTGGCCGAAGACGGTGAGGGAGGCACTTGTAGAGGCGCTAGCGCTGGACCGCTCTCGGGAGCGTCAAACATGTCAGAAGTGGCCAACGCCGCCGACGGGCTCGGGCATCTGACGACCTTGGCCCTCACGGACTTTGTTGGCTGCATGTAGCTGGGGGTCACCGGCGCGCCCTCGTCGTCTCCCATGGAAGCGGCCGCGATGGCGCTTCCCAGGCTCAGCCTTCTTGGGAGCTCCGCCCGCAGGCTCGTCGTGCGCCGCAGCGGGGTGTCCTTGGCGCCCAGGCGCGGGCTGCTCATCCCGCGGTCCTGGCTGCTCCGCGGGCGACGCTCGAGTTGCATGGTCGTCGCGCCACTCGATGTGTGGAGCGGGCTGCTGCTTCCGCTGCCCCTGGGGCTCGCCGGCGCGGCGCGGCGCGGGCTGTTTACCGAGAGTTCCTGGCTGCTCCGCGGGCGGCGATCTGGCTGCAGGCTCTTGGTGTGCTGGAGGCCGCTCGTAGCGTGGAGTGAGCCGCTCCTCGGGCTCGCGAGCATGGCCGACCTCCCTGAGATCGACGACGACGACCGTGGCGGGGGCGTCGACGGGGACGATAGAGATGACGGCCAGTTCGGTGGACGGAAGGACTTGCCCTTTGGCGTAGTAGTGGTCGTGGGTATCTGGACCGAGACGGCCACTCGAGGCAGCCGGCTGCTAGCACTCTTCGATGTGACACGGCCAGTGTCCGGCGGTGTCGTGGTCTGGTTCTCCCACGGCCTCGCAGCCGCCATCCAGCGCTCCGTCCAGCTCCAGCCCCAGTTCGGATTGCCGGGGTCCATGAACATCGGAGCAGGCGCATGCGCAGCTCTCGCAGAAGAGGTGTTCCTGTTCCTCCACTGCACGGGGATCAAAGCAGAGACGAAGTTGAGAGGTAGAATAGGAAACACAACCTAGAAAAGGCTACCGTGATCGTTGATCAATACCTGTTGAGAAAATGCGTATGACAAGGCCCTTTGCCGCCTTGAAGCGGCTTCTTGCTTCATCTTCAGCACGGCTTCCATCTGCTCCTTAGACTGCAGGCTATGGTCCCAGCCGTCACCAGTCTGTCAACAAATTTAGATTCAAATATCAGAAGATTGCTAGATACATATTGCATGGCTTTATAAGTTACTCCTATATAACAGAATTTAGCAATCCAAAGTTTTTTAATCTGACTTCCTAGTGCTAAATCACTAGCAGTTTGTGCATAATGCAACATGGAGGTCAAAGAAGCGAATCGGGCCTTCGTCAGTAAACAATGAACTGAATGGTTGCATTAAATCATGAATGCATCGCACCTTTGTTTTGTCCAGGCTCTGTTTAACCTTGGTCTGACTCTTGAGAGCCTTCTTGTCCTCCTCAGTCTTCAGCCTTCTCGAGTATATCTGAGTCTGAATCCTTGTCATCATCTGCATGCAGTACAATGCTTCCTCGGTTTGGCGCTTAACGGCGAACCCCTCGTTGACCAACAACATCAACCTAGCAATTCCTCTTTCCTGGTGTGGTCTCCTTGCCTGCAAGCAAAATGTCTGCAGGTTACTGGCAGTTTGCCAGATGACAGTTACAGACAGCCAATGGAAGGAAAACAAATGATAGATGTGAATACATATACCAGATGGCCCCTACAAGCCGCTTGGATCCTGGTGGCGGCAATGTCCTCCTTTGAGCGCGCAGACCACGTCGTCGGTGAGATGACGGTGGGTCGGGCGATCGCTGCCGCTGCCGCTGCCATGTGTGCGGAGGTGGAGTCGACCTTTGAAGTTGGTGACGCCTCCTCTGCCGGGCGCATGCACTCGCCTTCCTCGCATCTCGTCTCCACGAACTGCACCTCTGCCGTGATCTCCTCGAAATGTTGCTTATTATCAGGCGCTGGTGACTGTGGCAACTGAGTCTGATGACGAGCCTCTACATCCAGCGCGGGTGCCGCAGAGGTGGAAGCACTGGACGAGTTTGATTTGCCGAATTGCCATAACTTCTTGAAGCTCGGTTTGTCTCTCAGCTTCGCAGCCTTCTCATGTTGAAATTCCAGTTCTTGAGATTGGGCCAAGCAATAAACTTTAATGGAGGGAAGGGGAATAAAAAACAATACACATTGTTACCTTGGCATCCGTCTGCGTCTCCACGGGATCAGGTTCAGAAGTACTCAAGATTCTGTGCACGGTGTCAAACCACCTTCCTTTTCTCCCCATTTCTCGAGTTCTTAGCAGTTACCACCGCCACTTCGTGATGAAACAGGTAGAGAAAATGGCAAAGGTTCACCATGAATAGGTGTCAAAATAGAATGCACTTGCGATGACAGAGTTGCAAAAACGTTAGAGACATTGTAGCATTCACATGACATAGATGGAGCCAAAGGCTCATGTTGGTATGGGATCAAACACTTCTTGACGAATAGAGGAACAGAAGCCCCATAGCTATTCATCCAAAGCGCTCTGCTTACTCACCTATTCTGTCCTGCTATTGTGATGGCCACGGCCGATGCTCTCCACGATGGCCACTCCCGCTTGTTGGGCCCTTGCTACCAACCACCTGGTTGGTGTTTATCGTTGTCCCTACATTTGCCCCGATATGCCTTGTAACCCGTCGCCATGATAACTGCGCGTATTCTTTTTTTAGAGACAAAGCTGGGAGTTTTTTTAACCATAATAGAAGATACGTGCATGTCTAATTGTCTATGAAACACGAGGGATTGAGAAGCCAAATATAGCGGCCTTCGTTAATAAGGGAATAATAACATGCATACTTAGCTAACTCATAGCTCATGGGCATCTACATACACCTCCCGTCTTTCATGCTGTATCTCTAGTTTTTCAAATTGGTATCTCCATCCCTCTGTTTTTCTTGGAAGAATTCCATCCCTCTGTTTCGGTGATCACCATTGAGAAACTGAATGCAGTGCATTCTTTCAAACTATTCACGACTTCCAAGCACTTGGAGGCCGATGACAGTTAATTTGGGCCAAGTTTGGCAAACTGGCTGTGACTTCCAAGCACTAAGGTTTGCAAAACCGGTTAAGTCAGTTTTGATAGAATCCAAAATGAAGTTACGATTGGTGCCGATTTTGTAGTCCGTAAACATTTTCTTACCGGATAAGATCGCCCCACCCTATAAATATGAAGGGGGCGGCTCATTGAGGTATTACCGGTCAATCAAAAATTAATACATCTACCTTTTATACATCTCAAACACTAATATCTTCCAACCCTTGTATCCTACTATTCTTTGCTTCTCGCGATGAGATTCGTGGACGTTCTAGGTGTTCTTGTTGACCCTAGAACAACCCTAGATGTGTCTTCTTGGGAGGTGTCGGTAGGTTTTCAACGCATTCCTCTAACTAGTTTCAAGAACCAGCCAGATAGGTTTTCGTGGGTTCACTGTCGGTTGCTGTGTTTTGTGATGTGAGCGCCCGAGCTTTTTAGTGTGGTACCTTTGCTGCATACGCATCAACATAATTTTTTGTGACTCCACCGGGGAATAAACCAAAGAAACCATCTTTTGTGATGTACGGGCCAAAGAATGATGCGACTAATCCGTTCAGTCCAAAGAACATCATCAAGCCCACGATTGAGCAGCTCATTATGGATTTCCTCACTGAGATCGAGAAGAAGAGGAAGATTAGAGATCTTGCGTGTTGAGTGTGAAGCTTGCATGCTACATGATCTATCATCTGGAGTTATATTGGAGCTCAAGGATTTCGACTTCACCTGTGCTTCCACTATATCTACATCCAAGTTAAAAACCAATGTAAGCTCTCCTAACCCTGCTACAATGGATCGATATGCACAAATGTTAATGGATTATAAAAAAGAAAATCTATGAAAGTCGTCGATGACAAGTTTGGTGAGATTCATGTTAAATTTGATAAGATATAGGAGAAAAGAGTTGATCTGAATCTGCTACTTTACCTTAAGATGAATTTAAGAGCAGATTGGCAGCAATTACTAGTCAACCCATTCAATTATTGTAAGGGGCAATAGGGATATGCATCAACCAAGCCAAATTGTCTAGTTCAATTGCCGAAGCCAAAACAACTAATTTAGGGTTAGTCACTACCACAATATCTATGTCACCGTTCTACCTCTTTTGGTTTCTCCAAGCAAAGTTAATGAATTAGATAATTTTGTACCAACATTCACAACTATGATATATGTGTTTGGATTTGCACCTGTTGGTTCTAGAGTGCCATATGGTCCTACGACCGATGAACAGTTCAATCATTACATGAAATTTTCTTTGAACAAACAATGGCCAATCCTCCTAAACCTCTACAAAGGATAGTGCCACAAACAACACATTCTAGTACCTCCTACAACCAAACTAGCAATTTGTCCTAGTGGGATGAATACTTTGCTAAGTCTACTGAAGATATGACTAACTCCATCTAGGATAGTCTTGGTGTAGAGATCAAGCCCGGGAAATATTATCACCAACAACCATACCCGTGTTACTTCGATACAATTGGTTACCCCTAGGATGGAGAGTTTCATGATTTTGTCAAATTTATGGGGAGGATAACAAGACTACCAAGGAACACATTAGTATATATCTTGTGCGGTTGGGGAAAGCTATATATAAGCATTCAAAGTGCGCTTATTCTCTTTATCTCTCACTTGATAATTGCATTTTTGTGATTTTCGCCGTAATTCTATTTATGCTTGAGAATACCACTAAGTGCCATTCCGATAACTTAGGTGATGATTGTAATGATGCTTTTGTTGCTGAATTTGTGTGTTTATTTAAACCCAAATCGTGAGCCTATTCCCTCTTAAGCCAATTCACAAAAAAGGCAATAAGAGATGAAGTTCATTTTGATGTGTCCAAATGCGATAGGATATTAGATGAAATGCTTAAGAAGGGATACATCAAGTTGTTGCATCCTTTACCACCACTTGATGAACTATAGTAGTGGGCTTGTTATAAATGACATAATTCATCTTCTCATGCGACTAATGGCCGCAATATTTTTTGTTGACAGATCCAGTCAACTCTTAACGAGAGATGATTGAATTTATTAGAGATGCAGATTGACGAGACTTAGTTCCTTATCAACATTCTAGACCTAGAAGATCCCAAGATATTAGTTTGGCCCAGATAAGCAAATACAACTCAAGTGAAGAAACATGGTAATTGGTGATCCTAGGGAGTACAACAGAGGAGAAAACATCTTGGGAGCAATAAGTTGTGCTTAAAAAGTCCACCAATGGTAGAGATAACCTCAAGATCACAGTATAGACCCTCAGTGATGGCAGTGGGGATGACCAATCTTCCATCATGGGTAGCTCTCAATTTGGTCATGATCCGATTTTCGATCAACAAAAAGTCAAAAACCATAACCCTGCAATTGCATCGCCTCGTCTCCTTTGGTTATCAACCGTGCACCGCCCCATTGACCTCCTTGTAAAGGCCAATCCCTGCCCGTGAATCAAAAAATGCAAGCAAGAAAAACAAATAAGGTAATTGAATTTACTAAAAAAGATTAAGCATTCGAAGTGGTCTCAGACTGATGAACGACAAAATTGATCAATGATAGATTAATCTAAGCAAATCCCAAACCGTAATTTATGCATCAGGCTGGGCAAAAATTCACCAAAAACCGTAAACCGAACCGAACCTAAATGTCATTTTTTGGTTTTCGATTTTTATTTCGGCTTTGGTTTTTGGTTCCTAGAAGTTTGGTGCTCGGTTTCATGGCCAAACCGAACCGAAAGCCAAAGCAACCGAACTGCTGCACGAGCGCGAGCATGCACTAGAGCCAAATCTGACCTTGGCCTCGGGGGCTCGGCCCACATCCACTCTAGGACAAGGCCACGCTCTCACCAGCCCACACCAGCCCTGCAGCCCAATGCCTCGGCTCCTTCTCAAGCAAATCGCTCCTTAGTCCTCACCCCAACACCGACGGCCCCACCGCCCTAGGGAGGAACCTAACCCTAGCCGCCTAGCATGGACCGTGCAGGGCGCAGTGGTGGCGTGACCAGCAAGCATGTGTAGGCGATGGCGCGAGTAGGCATGGGCTGCATCGCATGCAGGCTCAGTGGTGGCAGATCCAGTAGAACCAGGCAGCTAAAATGTTCTTGTTTGGTTTTGGTAATTGAGTGACAACCATAGGTGGACCAACATGTGTTTGAGTGAGATACACAAGAAATTAGTCCATAGGTAAATATGTGATGAAGGAGTGAAAGGTCCTAATGGCTAGAGGGGGTGAATAGCCTATTAAAAATTTCTACAACAACACTTAACAAACCGGTTAGACAAATACGAGGCGAAGCAAATGTTGCGCTAGCCTACTAGAAATGCAAGCCACCTACCACAATTCTAGTGACTATGATCTCTAAGCACATGAAAGCTATGTCACTACACTAAGTTTGAGTGCTCTCAAAGACTAATTAAAGAGCCACACTAACTATTAGACTCGTCACAAGCTTGCTCTCAATACTAATTACACTAAAGAGCAAAGCAACACTAGAAATGTAAATACAAGAGAGGGGATGTGATGATTATATCGCCGTGTCGAGGATAGAGCCAATCACAATATGATGGAGCCAATCAATCATAATCAATCAAGAAATCCTCGAAATAAGATGACACAAGATTTTTTACCGAGGTTCACTTGCTTGCCGGCAAGCTAGTCCTCGTTGTGGTGATTCACTCACTTGGAGGTTTACGCGCTAATTGGCATCACACGCCAAACCCTCAATAGGGTGCCGCACAACCAACATAAGATGATGATCACACAATCTATGAGCAATCCACTAGAGTACCTTTTGGCTCTCCTCCGGGGAAAGGTCAAGAACCCCTCACAATCACCATGATCGGAGCCAGAGACAAGCACCTTCCTCCGCTCGACGATCCTCGTTGCACCAAGCCATCTAGGTGGTGGCAACCACCAAGAGTAACAAGCGAATCCCATGGTGAAACACGAACACCAAGTGCCTCTAGATGCAATCACTCAAGCAATGCACTTGGATACACTCCCAATCTCACAAAGATAATGAATCAATGATGGAGATGAGTGGGAGCGCTTTAGCTAAGCTCACAAGGTTGCTATGTCAATGTAAATGGTCACGAAAGTAAGCTTTAGCCAGCCAAACACCTTTTATAGAGGCTCCATCGAAATAGAGCCATTGGGCTCACACAATAGCCCAACTCGCGCTGACCGGACACGCCGATCAGAATGACCGGACGCACCCGG